CCAGGAATTGTGCTACAAGTCTTTTACCCAAATGATACAAAAATACTAATTTGAAGGGATACATGCACCCTGATTTTTATAACAGCATTAATCAACAATAGCCAAATTATGGAAAGAGCCCAAATTTCCTGTGACTTTATGAAAAATGTATGTTGTCTTTCATTATAAACCTAGTTTGACAGTTTTTCTTGTAGTTTTCTCTGTTTTTGTTTCACACACTTTGAAAAATTCTTATTAGTTTCACAGAGATGTGTTCTTTGGAAACTCCTTTATCACCTACTCCTTTTATCAGCATGAAAAGTCCTTCATCTCTTTTAATGCTTTTTTTCAATATTAACATTGTGACATCTGATTTTTGCATATTAGCATTTGCTTAATATAGCTCTTTTTATCTTTTTATTCCCAGTCTTCCTGTGTCATCAGGTTTGAGCTATGTCTCTTGTAAATAAATTACTAGATTTTGATTTTTTTTATCCTATATGAAAGTTCTTAACTTTTGGGTGCCTGGGTATATCAGTCAGTTCAGTGTTTGAGTCTTGATTTTGGCTCAGGTCATGATCCCAGGGTTGTGGGATTGAACCCTACATCGGGCTCTGTGCTGGGTGTGGAGCCTGCTTAAGATTCTCTCTCCTTGCCCCTGCCCCTCTACCCTACTCAAACGTTCTCCTTCTGAAATAAAATTTTTAAAAAAGTCCATAACTTTTAGCTAATGAATTTAAAACATTCCCATTTCTATAATTTTGTATATGTTTGGAACTATTTTTGTTATTTTTTTATTTATCATATTTTCTAGTTTGTTTTTGTTCTTTTTCCTGCCTTTTATTAGGCTGATAATTTTTTCTTAGTTCTATTTTTCCTCTACTATTTTATAAATATATTATTTGTTTGTACCTCTTTGTGGTTACCTTAACATTGTTAATATACATGTTCAAGCGTATTTTTCTAACATCTCGAGTCAATTAGTATCTCTAATATTCCTGAGAACAAAAAAAAAGGCTTAGCATACTTTCATTTTCCCCCAATCCCTTGCAACTTTTATTTTTCTCACCTTTTAACCCTCATTACTATCATTTTGAATTTTATATACATGTGGCCATATTTTTAAAATTAAAATATATTTAAGCTTTTAAATAAACATTTTTTTAGACTTAATGTATTTCATCACTCTCTTTGCTGCCCATTACTTCTTTTATCCTATTCCCTCCTCCTGGATTTCTTCTTATTATTGGCTTATGTTGTCTACCAGTTCTCTCAGAGAGAATCCTGAAGTAGTAAACTTCAAGGTTCCTTTAATTATAAAAATATATTTATTTCTGCCTCTCACTTGAATAATAGTTTTGCTGGGTGTGGAAATCTATCTTCAAAGTTATTTTCCCTTATAATGCTGAAGGTATTATTCTACTTGTCTTCTTGTATCCTGGGTTGTTCACAAGGAGTCTGATGCCAACTTGATTATTTCTTTGTAAGTAATTTTTCTTTTGACTCTGACACCTTTTTAAGATTTTCTCTTTATCGTTGATCTTCACAAATTTCATCACACTGTAACTAGGGGTGTGTGTGTGTGTGTGTGTGTGTGTGTGTGTGTGTTTTATCTTCAAGTTATCCTTTAGACCAGAGGATCTTTGAAGTTCTGAGAAGTTTTTCCATAATATTTCTTTAAATGCTGCCTTTCCTTGAAATTGTCTCTATTTTTTCCTTCTGAACGTAGTTTCAAACAGATGTTAGAACTGTGTGTCATCTGTGTATCTTACTCCCCTATTTCCATGTCTTCATCTCTGCTCCTTATGTGTAGCTTTGAGCTGGGGTATCCTTCTGTCTGCCATCATCTGCTCGTTTTTTAGATATTTCTCACAATCTCTACCACAGTTTATACTTCTTTTCTTTAATTTTATGAAATCTTTTCTATTATCCCTGAGGATTTGGGGTGAATAATATACATGAGGGTGACAGGTATGAACAGTGCTCAGTTTGCCAATTTAAATACCTTTTCAAGTTTTTTAATATTTATCAACCACACTCAGCACATGTAAAGGACCAAATTGAGATTCGGCAAGGCAGGTGTAGCAGAAGAATTGGATGATGAACTTGAGGTGCTAGTGAGTCTCAGGTTTGGAATGGCAAGCTGTCAAGACTCACTTATTGTGGGAGTCAAAAGTAGACACACAGGTGAATAAGGAGAGGCTGTAAGACTCAAGGTCATGACAGTGAGTCTAGTAGTAGGAAAATTGAACAGATGACAGTATATAAATCTGCTTATAGAAAAATTGAACCAGGGGCGCCTGGGTGGCGCAGTCGGTTAAGCGTCCGACTTCAGCCAGGTCACAATCTCGCGGTCCGTGAGTTCAAGCCCCGCGTCGGGCTCTGGGCTGATGGCTCAGAGCCTGGAGCCTGTTTCCGATTCTGTGTCTCCCTCTCTCTCTGCCCCTCCCCTGTTCATGCTCTGTCTCTCTCTGTCCCAAAAATAAATAAACGTTGAAAAATAGAACCAGAGTGAGATTTCTAAATGTAAAAGTCTCTAGTACTGAGGGGATCCAAGAGATGGTCAATGTGGGATATAGGTTATGTGGAAAAAGGAAATCAAGGAATCCTGAACCCTGAATATTAGAAAGGCTACTCATGTGGAAACTGAGATGACACATGTGGAAAATAGTTTATTTGAAAATTGCTATTATAAAAGTTGTATCTTAAAAAGACAGTTTATCGAATCTATCAGAAAAATCGTGTGTCTCATGTGCAATGTCTGAGTTTGTAGTGATTCTTCATATGATGAAGAAAAATTAGCTCTCTCTTTATTTTCAGGAACATAGATTTTGTTGTACTCTTCACATAAGATAAGTTTTGTGACTTTAGACCACTTTTTCCATATATATACATTCTTTGGGTTGAGACAGCTTTCCTTCATAGAACAGTTTCTAGACATATATGAATATTCATCTCATTATAGTAGAATGCGATTGCTCATAAAAATGGGTCTTAGTTCTCTAGTTACTACACATTTTCCACGCATACTGTGGCCATATTCTTGTCTAGAGAGACATGAATTATTGAGATAAATGTCAGTAGCCCCAAATGGCATCCATTTCAATTTGTATTAGAATTAAAGTGTGTAACAGAGAGTCCCAAAGCAACAAACATAATATAGAAAGAGCAAATTAAAAGTCTCTGTATTGACACATTGAGCATTTTATTATTTCTTATAAAATCTCAGTGCATCTAGTACTTAGCATTTAATATTGCAATATTTTTACATTGTTTTATACAACCTTATATTGATAGTTTAAAATGGGGAAGGAATAATTTTGCTAGCACATACAATTGAGATGGGACCAACTGGTGGAAGGAAATGACAGGTGAATTAGAAAGTGTAACTATGGGTATTAAATGGAAGAGTTATCTTTGAAATTCAGATTGGGATCAGGAACCGTAGATCAGGAGTGAACAAAAGTAGTCAGCCTGCAGATATTTAAACCCTTACCTGGAAGAAAAGTCTCAATGTCTCAAGTATAGAAGGAATCACAGTTGGTTCAAGTGACTACATTATGCCTGAAATAGGAGTAAAGGTATGAGGAAAGGGTTCTAGAAATCCATGACCTTATCATACTGAGAATTGTCATCTTTGTGAGGATAAACATAAGTAACCTAGGATTTTTAAGTGCTACATGAAATAAGGAATCACATGCTGAAAACCAACTGGTAACACCTTAGTACTGTTTTTAAAATAATGATGACTATGGTCATAATCAGTTGATGCACTTGCTATATGCCTAGCATGGTGCTACTCAGCTTCTGTACATTATCTCTCAACATTTAAAACAACCTCAAGAGATAAGCATGGTGAAGTTCTTTTTATAGGATTAAAAGAACTGAAAAGCTGAATTAACATCTGGTGAATTTCAAGAGAATAAACAAATAATAGGAATAATTTGGGCCAAAAATTTAAAAGACATTTGGCTTTAACAGTGTATTGGGTGGAGGTGGGAAGATGAGAGTTGTATTTTTATTTCTCTGTTAATGAGGTTTTTTTATGATTGTTTTTCTACTTCTGTGCTTTGCTCTTTTCAGTTTTGGGGAATAGCAAGACAGACTGACAGAGGAAGTTTAGTTAGTTACTAAATTTAGTTTAGTTACTGATTCTGATTTATGAAGACTTGCATTTTAACAAGATTTACACAAAGACATTATACTAGTAGTGAAATAAGGAGCAGCTTCTACCAAAATTCAGCTGTTCACCTTCGCAGATGAGTCACGAGTAACTAATGGTTGGCACATTCAGAATGATTAACTTGTGTAAAGTAAAATATCTATGAAATCATGGCTGTGTACTGCCAGTGACTCGATTAACTTTTCAAAATGACTTGATTACATACAACACACTGTAATGCAATAATAAAGAACAATGTATTAAGTACTTAAAAATACTTATGTTATTTTTGCACTAGGCTATTAACCAAATCTCATTTTATACTTTTCTACCTTGAATATCACACTTGTATAAAAGCAATTTTTCCTTTTGGATGGCTGTTGGGTTGTAATCTTAGCATCAACACAGATAAAATAACAAAGAATTATCAGATGAAATGGAAGGATCAAGAACGTAGCCAAAAGAGTTATGCAAGATGTCTGTAACTTAAATTAAACTGAAGATAGGACCATTCCCATAATTACATTTCAAGAAAAAAAAAAATTCCAAGTAAAGTAGTAATTGTAATCTCCCTTGGGTTTTAATTTACATTCAGGCTTCTCCTCATAAAAAATTGAACATGCAAATGGAATTAGGACATATCTTTTTTCTATCATACGTATCATATGCAGCATAAAGACTGCAGGGTTTCTAATTTCTGTAAATAATTACTCTGTCACACAGGAGAGGTAGATATTTGAAATAAAAGCAATGAGTTGAAGATGAACAGTCCTCTGGAGGACACAAGATTACCCCCCCCCCCCCCCCCCCCCCACCCCCCCCCCACTATATTCAGTGTGAGTCTTTTCTGTTTCCACAGAGCATCTGTACAACCACCACTGCATTTTTGCACTTTTTCTTCCTGGCTTCGTTCTGTTGGGTTTTAACTGAGGCGTGGCAGTCCTATATGGCTGTGACTGGAAAAATTAGGACCCGGCTTATAAGGAAACGTTTTTTGTGCCTTGGATGGGGTAAGCATATTAATATGCCCTTTCATGCTCTTGTTGTTAAAATGACTTTGAACACATATAATGAAGCAATAGGGTGTGATTATCCCCAACCTACTTTTTTTTGTCCAATTTGATAAATGGAAGTGGAAATAAATGAAGCTGGTCATTTTTGAACATTCTTTGAGCATTTGGAACTTTAAGAAGGAGTAAATATTGGATGACCACATAGCCATTCAGTTAAGCAGTGATGTAAGAAGAAGCCTAGGATAGCTACAGGCAGTACAGCAAAGTGTTGTCTGCTAATACATTCTGAAAATGCAAAATGTCTTACAGTGTTCAGGGCTCAAAACAGGTGCTAGTCACATATTCCCCACAAGAAAACTTTGAGAAGTCCATTCCAAGAGAGCTCAAAACAATTAAGGACTACAGCTGTCCATCACAGGAAGAAAGTCCACTTAGAGAGTGAATGAAACCTTGTGACTAGTGCGTGGGGTCCTCAAAGGAAAAACAGAATTGTTGACAGACTGAGAATTAATTCGTTGTTTGCTTTTCTTTATTAGGAAAAGTTTCTGTCAAATTGCCTTACAAAATGGGCATCTTGAAGATCCATGCATTTCATAAGGCCCATTCTAATGTTTAATTAGAATTAATTAGTTTAATTAGAATTAATTAGTTACTTTAAAGAAACTAGTTTCAGAAAACCTCAGGATTTTGTCATTTTTGCCTTTGAGTTCTGAAAGACTTGAACTAAAAAAAATGGGGAATTTTGGACCAAATATACAACAGATACCTAATAGACGAGAAGACTGGAGAATAGGATGCTTGATGGAGGCTGATAAATTACAAATAAGCGGACTTATTACAATAACAGAATAATTCATACTGGAAAAAGTAGGATTAATATATTAGGGCTCTTTACACAGGCAAATGGGAGAATGTATTCTACTTGCACTTTCATAAAACTTTTGTCTGAATTTCATGACAAAGACCTTCTAAAGTTAAATTGGTACTGAATCAGGGGACACTTTTGTCGTGAATCAGTGCCATAGATCCAAGAAATATAGAATGCAGGTAAGTGACTTTACCTAAGTATAAAAAGTGGCAGTTTTCAAGAATGGTAACTACCTCGTTTTGTGTCATTACTAAAGATCTTGAGGAGAGGGCTCACAGCTGGTCTCCAAGTTTACAGATAATGTTAAACTACTCTGAATAGCAAAAAAGCTAAGGCAATGGTGCTAGACTATCAAGAATTCTGGGAGGTGGCAGATTAGTGGCATGTGAATTTCTATACAGCAAAGTGCAATGTAATAAATTTGGGAAAATAATTTGTATTTACAATACAAATAAATACAATACAATACAATACAATAAATTGTACAGGTTGAAGACTATTAATGCTTTAGCTATGACCCAGAAGAGAATTTTTTTCTAATGAACTTGATGTAATCAGTCAAAAAGTCAACTATATATATCCGTGTGTGTGTGTGTGTGTGTGTGTGTGTGTGTACGGGGTGGGAGAGGCCCATATTTGTTTAAAAATATGATGTGTCCCTCTGAGATGCCCTTCATATTTTTTGTCATTAAACCTCATGAAGGAATGTGGTGTCACTTGAAAAGACTCACAGAAGAGAATAGCAGGAAGGAGGGGAAATGATAGGAAGAAAGAAGGTAGGTGGAGGGGACTCAAGAAGGTGATTAGATGATGGATTTTCAACCTGAAAAGGCAAACATCACCTTCCTGAAAAGAAGACATGACCACAATTTTTGTAAAATAATTAAACAGCGTGGATTAGACTGAGCTCTGTTCACCAAAACACAGGGGCATTCCTTTGAACTTGAGTAAGGAGAGCATGATTCAGACAAACATAAACTAAAAGCTGTTAGGTCAGAATTGGCACAGGTATGCGGGCAATTGAATTCCAAAATGGACTGAGCAATGTGTGGAGTGATACCTACCGAGAAGTGCATGAAGCGAAACTGGCATATATTTTCTGACCTTCATTCGGGATTGCTAAAAGGAATATGACCAAGAAGCCCCAAAATTAATTCCTTAGGGGCCTTAATTTGGCCCTACACTCTTGTTATTATAAGTAAATCATAAAGAAAGAATTACATGAATGCTTTACTTTTTTCTGTCTTATAATAAGTACAACTTGATATGAATCAATATGGGGCCACCTGAAATGTTCCACTTCTGTGATATTCTATCACAGCAGAACATCCATTTTTTGCCTTTCTGATTTTATAACTATAAATTTCCTTTATAACAGTGTAAACCCCTAGGGAAAAATAACTTAAAAGATATACTAAATCTCTGTTATTAGTTTCCTTTAAACCCATGTCAAATGTGGTGGTAACCTAGCAACATTAGAGAAGTGCACTGAGTTAAAAACCCAGCTGTCGCTCTCATATTTTTGTACTTGAAAGAAATTTTGTAATGGAAACATACTTTATGAAGGAATTCATCCAAATGTAGTTGCTTCGATGTAAGCATTTTGAGTCTGTCCTAGCTTTTCTTGAGCCAGAGTACACAGTGGTTACAGCTGAACGTGAAGTCTGACCATGTTTTTCTTGCAGGTTTACCAGCATTAGTAGTGGCCACATCAGTAGGCTTCACAAGGACGAAAGGATATGGCACTGATCACTAGTAAGTCCATCCACAGTGATAAATCATGTTTATAATTAAGTAAATCATCATCTATGCTCCATTAGTCTTGGTTGGCACTGCTGATGCCTTGCATTTTGTCACTGAGTCATTAACAATGGTAGAAATCACATTAGTGAGGAATGATATAAGGTAGCTGAAATGCGCAGAGGTTAGGAAGTAAATGGTGAAGCCCTGTTCAGAATCCTTGTTTCAATTTCACATTTCTTCATAAGGACAATGAATTTGATTTTTAAAATATTTCAATATTTACTTTGTGTGTTTAATCTCAAATGCATTTGTTTAGATCTGAATAAATCTTGATGTTTCCCTTTTAGAATATGATCCTGATGTGAGCTTCTAATTTCACTGATGATAATGTATATTAGTATCAACCAAGTTGTGAAAGATCAGCTCAAGTTTTGTTGCCGTGTTAGGGTAATACTGAAACGTAAGGATCAGGGGGATCAGTAAATTACACATTAGAAAATGCCTAGGCTGTGGGAGAAATTAGAGGGAAGAAAGAGGGTGGGGTATCAGCCCATCCTTATCACAGCTGTAACACTGATAAATTCAAGGGAGATTTTATAAATAAAGTTTATATTGAAATATTTAAAATTTAAAACAATGCACTTTGATATTTTATTTCATCTGCTCTCTCAAGGTGAGGAGGCAGTTGAGAAGTGGAGAAAAAGATGGGCGCATCTTCTTACAAGTATAAATTTTTAAAGTGAGATTTTCGGTTTGTCTTCAGGTTTGAGATGGGAATTAGTGCTAATTAGTCCTTCTAGTGGGCTCATCCAAATGGAGACTGTGAGAAGAGACATCATTCCACCTGCCCAACAAAAGGACATTTCCAAAGAATTTAAAGAACTCATGTCATTAGAGCACTTGTTTTTCTTCTGCCATCTATGTTATAAACACACAAACAAGCAAAACTCCCTGATAGCGCATGTTGTAGTGTAGTGCTTACTACAGCACTATTACCTTTAAGCCATTACCTTTTACAGGAGTATGACTTTCGGTATAAATCCAGTATTTGAAAGGCACTGTGTTGGAGATATAGCAAGAGGTAGGAATTATGGATGATATGGTTCCAACTTTCAAAGAGTTTGTGATTGAAACCGAGTACAATATAATGAGTAGTATGTCAGTTTAAAGATTAACTCACAAAAATACAGTAGAAAATCAGTGGCAGTCTCAGAGACACAAAACTACAGTGTTCTATCAGACTAAAGGCTTTTCGCCCAGGTGTTTTATTTTAAAACGTAGATATTAAATTATCAACCCCAAAGTAGGAAAGTAGAATTTTATCTGTTCACTGTTATGGCAAGGAGAAATAACTAAATGCAGACTTCGAATACCCACATACACACACATTTGTTTTAGGTATATATCGATACATGCATTGCTGTGTGTGTGTGTGTGTGTGTGTGTGTGTGTGTGTGTGTATAACTACTAGATTAAAATTTTTAATTAAGATAAAATTTATGCAGAGCAGCATTCACACTGTTAAGTGTGTAGTTCTGTGAGTTTTAACAAATGCCTAAGTCAGGTAACCACCACCACAACCAATATAGAAAAAGTGTGTCCTTAGAACCAATATATAATAGTTATTGTTAATTGTTAATTTTGGAGGCAGCATGATGATTCTGTGGACCTAGAAGTAATACTGACAGGGTCAAGTGTCAAAAGCAGATGCAAGAAGTAGTAGGTGTGACTCATTGCATCAGCAGAGATAAAACATCTCCTGGTGTTTTCCTACATTCCTTATATTTCCTTATATTCCTAGACCATGCACATGCAGATGGGCCACCTTGCAAAGCCTCCAGTGCCAAGCCCCATGCCTTCTTCATGCCTCTCTACTGTGAGAGAATAAGTGTTCTTACCTAAATGGGCTACCATGTCAATATCAGTACAAACCTGCATTTCCTGGTGAATTTAGTAATTGAAATAAACACAGCCACACTTATTTTTATTCAAAAGCTTATCTTTACTGAATTTTGTTAGTAGTCTGGGGCAAAAGTAAAATCAGGACAAAAAACAAGCGCACAAAATATAGATTATTTGTTCCTTTCAGTGATGGCTTTTAAACCAATTTCTCCCGATATCTCAATGGCCTCAAGGAAGAACACATAAATGGCATACGCAAGACTCTAAAAGCATGCTGTTCTTGCTTGAAAGAGCGTTTGAAAATTTTCATAATGGATACAGAGCACCATTTTACAAAACTTATGTGATAGTCACCTTTGTACTAAAAGTCAATATAAAAATCTCACTGGAAGAGTAATTTGTCTAAAATGTTTTAACTGCCTGAAAGTAAGGCCTTAAAATAAAAGTTTCTTTTCTGCGAAAGGCGTATAGTGTTTCTCACGCATCAAATGCTCTCATTTTCGCTTTTTCCACCTCTTCCATGCATTTCTGCTTAATTACAAACCTTCAAAATGGGCCCACATTTGAACGCTAAGTAATTTGTATCACACTTCAATGGTTTAGCACTTATCACTAATTTCTGTTAGTTTTTATCTGATGTTGTTTTTAGCTGCTGGCTCTCTCTTGAAGGAGGACTACTCTACGCTTTTGTTGGACCTGCAGCTGCTGTTGTCCTGGTAAAACATCAAAATCTACTCGTTCTGTTTTCTTATCAAAGACTACTTGGCTTCAATTACAGTGACAATTTTTGTGTTCACTGTAAAGACACTTTAACGTAGAATGTATTATTACTTCATTATTAATGACTACTTAAATTTGAATACCAACTGCTCTTTAGTCCTTTAGTACTCTAAAATACTCTTACTTTGAAGACTGAAGAATATTGAACATGCAAGTGTGGGATTTCTCTTACAGTAATTTCACATTTATGAAGAAGTTTGAGTAAGTTTCAACCAATTCTTCATTGTTAATGTACACAATCAATTATCATTTCACTTTACACCATTCTGTGCGATCTCCATCGTTGTAAAGATCGCTTAATCTTAGTAACTGCTGCTGCTACCAAATGTCAACAAGAAAACTTATGTCCATGTGTCAGAGTTTCCTAACCTCAGTGCACAGATTTTGGATAACATATTTCTTTGTTGTGGGGCTGTCCTGTATATGTCAGGATGTTTAGCAGCATCCCTGGCCTCTACCTACTAGATAGATACCAGTAGTATCCTCAGGTTGGTAAAAATCAAAGCTGTCTCCAGACATTTCCCAATATTCCCTGTGGGCAAAAATCACCCCCGAGTTGAGAACCCCTGCCGTATTTTGTGCATAAGGATTTAAATTTTTTTTCTTTTTAGAATCACTAAATAATTCCTTTACATATTTAATTATGGGAACATGGAATTTGCTACCAATTTACCTTTCGTTCTCTCACTTTGATATTCTAGATTGCAATACAAATCTTTCTTGTCTAATAAATCTTTAAATGAAAATGTAAGGGGGAAAATGGTCTGAATTAAATACAAAGATCCACATCACTGTGCAATTAGAGTTCTAATTGGAGAACTACCCTTTGGTTTCTTGAACAATTCATTGCATATATGGAAGCTAGCAATATCTTTATTAATAACTCTATATGATTTTTTCTTTCTTTAACATTTGCTCTCCATCCTCTAAACTATAGCAGGGAGCAGAAACTGTCCATGATTCACAAGACAAAATCTAGGCATCAGTCTTAGAGAAGGGCATAGGGAGATGGAAGCTATTAGGCACATTTTTGTCTGCTGCATCGAATTCTTATTTAATCAATTGAATTATTTCCCTAAGGTACCAAGTTAATATACATATAACCCTAAAATGGAGAAACAAAGAGTATATGTATAATTGAAAAACCAAAGTATGGTCTTTGGAGTAGTGATGGATTCCCTCATGATTAAATTGTAGATTAATAGAATCCATGGAATACACTTTTTTCTCCTAGTTCATATAATGAGAAATGTGAAGATGAGTAAGTCTTTCTCTTGATTAAATGGTATCTTGTCAGAAAGCTATGAAGAGTGACACTTCCTAATAAGTCCCTACCTATCAGTTGCTTTGGATCTTCCTTATACCAGCAGTTAAACAGATTTCAGCTTTATATTTCATCTGGCCAAAGTTCTGGGAAAAAGGAATTTTTCTTTTTTCTTAACCAGTCATCCTGTTTAATTTAAAACAGACTTTTGTGAACCAGTAGTTTCAATGTAAAGGTTTCATCATTTGCACTGGGGGACGCACCAAGATTCCATTGATCATGGAGGGTAAGGGGCAGGGAGGCAAAAAGAAAATATTTTTCCTTGATTATCTTGGTCTCAGCGTTGGACTGGATTCCTTTGTCAGGAAGTGCTGGTAGGTTAGAGAACTGTGGGCGCTCATCATAATAAGTTGCTACAAATAGACCACAGCCATCTCTACAGCTTTTTACAATTTTACTTGAGAGAGAAAAATATGTGTGATTTCATTTCAGATGTATTATGCGCAAAGATCTTTTAAGTGAGAGTAAGAGAGTCTTAGAAAATGCTGAGAAGTGTTCAATAGAGCACATTTTAAGAGTTGATGTTAGTATCCATCTCCTAAAGGATGCTGGTGAGTTGAATAGGCTTTCTCTTTTGTCTAGAAAAGCATGGTACATCAAAATGCTCCCCCAACCCATAGGAGAGATAGCTACACAGTATGAGGAATTTAGACGTTCTTTTCTCACTTCTGGGGACAATGACAAATTCTTAGCACCTTTGGCTGCCAGGGCTCAATCTAGTCTCACACTGTGAGACTGAAAATCTTTTGATTCTCATAGGGTAAAACTCATTTAGACAATTGATTTTAATCAGGGGTGACTTAGAATGCCAGACTCACATATTATGGCACTGTTTAAAAGGTAGACAATTGAATGTTAATCTCCTCAGTGTTAACTGCAAAGCATGGAAATTTAATGTACTTAACGTACTTTAAAACTTTAAGGTTAACACACCATTGTTAAATTGTTCTCCTTTATGCACTTATAAAATATTTGACAAGTGCTTTCTCTCACTACTATTGTGAGTTTATAATTCTGAAATGGTTATAAATTAATCAAAGAGGGTTTTCAGGAGAAACAGGGACCTAATTTCCTTCAATATCATTGAAAGGTCAACCTTTGTTTCTGTTTGACAGGTCAACATGGTGATTGGCATTTTGGTATTTAATAAACTTGTTTCCAGAGATGGGATCCTAGATAAAAAGCTCAAACACAGAGCCGGGTAAGCTGCAATTGGTGGATTTTGTAGGTTCCTTACCAGTGAATCCCATACTCCAATTCCAGATCATCACTGACTGCATTTTAACTATGCCTTGAATTTTGTTCCTGATGAACCGATGTGTCTGGTAGAGTCTGCCATTCAGATTTTTTTTTTCAATGTGCTATTCTTAAGTAATGCAACTAATATCTAAAAATAATTTTTAAGACCATTAGAAAGTCTGGGTTTGTTTGTGCGTATTGCTTGTTTGTAAGATAAGAAGATGAGATGTTAAGGCTGGAGTGAAAATACTTGTTCTTTTGTTTGTTTGTTTGTTTCAAGTTTTATTTAAATTCCAATTAGCTAATCTATAGTGTAATATTGGTTTCAGGAGTACAATTTAGTGATTCATCACTTACATACAACAGAGTGATCATCACAATAAGTGCCCTCCTTAATGCCCATCACCCATTTGGCCCATCCCCTGCTGACCTCCATTAAAGCTCAGTTTGTTTTCTATAGCTAATAGTCTCTTATGGTTTGTCTCCCTCCTTCTCTTTTTTCTTCCTTCCCCTATGTTCATCTGTGTTGTTTCTTAAATTCCATATATGAGTGAAATCATATGGTACTTGTCTTTCTCTGACTTGCCTCACTTAGCTTAATTCTCTATAGCTCCATCCATGTTGTTGAAATGGCAAGACCATTCTTTTTTATGGCTGAGTAATATTCCACTGTGTGTGTGTGTATACCACATCTTCTTTATTCATTCATCAATTGATAGACATTTGGGCTCTTTCCATAATTTGGCTATCGTTGATAATGCTGCTATAAACATTGGGGTATAAAAATACTTGTCCTTAGTTGAACATTTTCAAAGTCCCCCTAGTTTGCATCACAATGGACAGGAGGGTAGATCAAACATAATGTTGATATGTGACACAATGGAATCGAGACAAGTAATTCCTACTAGGGTAAAAATACTAGATTCTCTTTGATTAATTGTATATATCAGAAAATTTCTTCATATGAAACAATCACTAATGAAACAGTATTCTTGTCATATATTTTCATTTTTTATGATGTTTTGACTATAAATTGCTAGGAAGAGTTATTTTTAATTTTCATTTGCACATTTTAACCACTTACAAAATTTAGGAAAGCATCTCCTTTCATTTTACTGTTACTATGATACCACCACATTTAATGACTAATAACATTCCATAAGCAGATTGATACCAGCCTTTTAAGGTTACATAGTCACCTCATCTTACAAATTTGTAGAAATCTAAAGGAAATCTTAATGCTTTTGAATTTTCTTGTGTATATTTTCTTATAAAAAGTTTATAGCTTTCTCCTTTCTATTTAGCTGTACTTTCATTCAAAACTTACTCTACAATTGTTATTTCTTTACTAATTTATAGTACTATTTAATAGTCATAGTACTTGATCACTGAGCAGTGAGAATTTTAAGTCCTTTATGTTTATAATCTATGCAATGACTTCTAAGATAACCAAGGTATGTTTTCCCCTAGTAAAAGACTCGGTTTAATGCTTATATAAAATATAAATATAAATATAAAAATTTGATACCATTAATATCAAACATTAGAACTGCAGTGATGTAACAAAACATCACTGGAGGTTCCCTTCAAAGGGGGGCCATCACGTCAGAGGAGTCTCCATAGACTTTTCACTTCAGATGAGTCTCTATAGTATCTTTAACCAGCTAAACCTGAACCTGCACAGACACTGCTTTCTGTACCACTTGAACTTGAAGCTTTCACACTATTATTCTGCCATGTATGGTTGGACTTGGAGCAATAGCTTCAGTATTTCTGCCCAGATTAATTATATAAGAATAAATTGACCGTACTGAGTATGGTGTATGGAAACTCACTTCTGCCACTAGTGGCATGCACACACGTGTATTATTAATTGGAGGCGTCGGGGTTAGTGGTTAGGAGAAAGCTTTGAGGTAAAAAAATGTTTTTAAATAAAGCCATGCTCAGTATCTAGCTCTGTAGTTTACTAGCTGTGTGTGTCTTTCGGCATGTTATTTCATTTTTCTGGGGTTCGGTCTTCATACCTGAAAAATGGGGATAATCATTTTTGCTTCATAATAGAGTATATGAAATATAATGTGTATAAAGGATTCATTAGAGTAGCAAATAGCAAGTACTCATTCAACCAATGGTGGCTATTTTTATGATAAGTTAAATGAAGAAAAAACCCTGATTTCTATCAATCAAGCATCTATGCTTCCACCACTGATGACCTTGAGGTCAAAAAAAAAAAAAGAGATGAGATCATCAGAATGAGTATAAAGCTAAGGATTTATTACATTGGCAGTTAGTATTTTTTTCTCATTTAATCATTTTATATGTAATATCCAGTTTGATTCACATAGCTCTTTGTAAGAGAAAACATATGTTTAAGAGAAATGACAGCTTTGTCATGTTATGAATTTAGAAATTATCCACTTTAATATACACATTAATTTTAAAACGTCTACTTATAAAAATAGTATTAGAAGTTACATCTGTTTTACTGGCAAAATCGAGCCAGTGTTTTTCTGGTTCAAAGGCCACTATTGAAGAAATAAAAATGTTAATATGTGTATAAAAAAGCAGAATGTTGATTACTGTTCAAAGCAGAAAAGAATTATCAACAAGTTAATAACTCTAGGTGTTAAGAAAGTCTTTCTATAATATAAAATGCAATTTATGCCAAAGTATGTATAGATTGAAATTTGCTATTTCAAAATGTTATTGAAGGAAATTTTTTAGAAAATATAAGTGATAAGCAGCATCCAGGTGTCTCAGTGGGTTTAGAGTCCGACTTGGCTCAGGTCACGATCTCACAGTTCGAGAGTTTGAGCCCCTCATTGGGCTCTGTGCTAACAGCTCCAAGCCTGGAGCTGGATCCTGCTTTAGATTCTGGGTTTCCCTCTCTCTCTGCCCCTCCCCTGCTCTTACTCTGTCTCTCTTTCTCTCAAAAATAAATAAACATTAAAAAATACTTTAAAAATATATGTATATATAAGTGTTTGAAGCTACTTTCACTTCACAGAGAATCAGTGAAGGCAATCATAAAGACTTCAGTGAACAATCAATAATCAGAATTAACTATGGAAACGTTGAGTAGGAAGTTAATTAACTTAACAGTTGATGCCCCATATTGTAAATATTGACCATTTCAGATTGAAAAAAATGTATATCATGTTTATGACTTGATATGTTTATGAAACATTGTTTATTATTTAGACTCAAATATGTTCCTCTTCCCATTTTTTCTTTGTTTCCTCCATTTTATAATTAATTATTATAAACTAACCAAGCATAGTTTATGCTCAATAACTATTTATAAAGGAATGAGTGAATGAATATTTAAAAATACAGTGTCTTGACAAGTTTATTAATACCCAAATTATATTAAGTTTTTCTAACATGTAAAATATAGTTACCCAAAAGGGATTGATTGTAATTAACACATCCTATATAAAAAAAATTGGAAATAATGAAAAGACCAAATGGCATGTGTCTTCTTAGAACATCTCAAGCAAAATATTTCACTTTTTTTCCCCCTTTTTCTTCAATGGGACTTTCTTATCTACTGTTTTAAACTGGTTTTATCTCATCTACATAAGTTAAGGAAACTACCAGGATCTTGTACAAATATCATGAGATTTTTTCCAAAGGGAAAGGGTAATATTTTCTTTTCAGGTAATTTACATGGTATCAACAATAAACCAATCGGACAAATTTTTTTTCTAAGCAAAAGAAAAACAAAATTGGGAAGGGAAACTTGTAGACCTCAAGACCCTGCACGAGTAGACAGCATAATCTGGGTGAAATGACTGTGTTGCTGCCCTGGTGAATATGGTAACATTTGAACTTATGGGAAATTCAATTCTTTTTAACCGTTGACACTTTTTATTTTATACATGTATAATTTCCCCTGTAACAAAGAAACAAGATTTTATTTCCATTGCAGCAACCCTGTTCTGCATTTAGACTATGTGTTCTTCATACTGTATTAATTTCTGTAGTGGTCATACAAACTAGGGGAAAATATTCTATCTCCTTGGATAACGTATCTTTCCTCTGCTCCATATACATCTAATAGTCAAATTCCAAAAGTGCCCAACCAGTTATCATCAAGTGTAGCTTTCAACAATTAGTCCTGACTGAAGGAAGTATGTATAGCCTTTTAGTCACAATCAATCTCAACTAAAGAGAAATAAGCATTTCAAATACTGACTTCAGATTTATTTTCAGGAAAGTCCATACTTAGAACAAATTAGTTTTTCTCAAAGCTAAAATATTTGTACCATATACTAAAATTAATTTTTAGTCACCTTTGGCTTTTCAATCTTGTTTTAGAGCCTAGAGACAAAGAGTCCTTAAATTGAGAAAGCCACATTTGTATTTAAAGCACAGATACCCAATAGCATATCTTCTCTGATAAAGGAAACAATAAATAAGTCATGTCTTTTTAATATTAATCTGATGGAACTTAACAAGATTGAAGACACTAAAATATATAGTTAGGGCAATTATGTGAATTCCTGCTTTTCATCAGAATAATCTATGGAGCTTTAAAAAACACAAATGCCTGCACCCTATTAAATTGGAGTCTTTGGGGTCTATCTATCTATCTATCTATCTAGATATATATCTATCTCTATCTATCTATATAGATGGATAGAGATAGATAGAGATAGAGACAGATATATAGATATCTCTATAGATATATATGTCTGATGATCTATAGATAGATATATAGATAGATATATCTGATGTGCAGTTACTGTGGAGAATACTGGTATAGGTACTCCTTTGGGAGTAGTTTCAAACACATTAGCATGCCTGTTGAGGCACTCATGATCCAAACTGAATAGACTATTGCTTACTTATTGTGAAAAGTTTGGGCACATGTGCCAGTACATAAGTCTTGGGTTGAATCGGTAAAATGAATAATTTAGTATCATAATTTCCCACCCTCACATCTAACTCTAAAAGCTTTGATTTTTCTCATGAGGTCTACTGATCAATCTACTTAATAGCTTTCAGATTTATTATCTCATCCAAGCACTGTTCACAAATGAGTGCACTTCTTTAAAACAAACCAGACATTCTGAATTATGACCATCTTAAGATGTTTCTCTGTACTGCCACTTTTATTAACACATGTCCACTAAATATTATTTTGGAAAAACCTACTAGGAAAACATTTTATTTTATTTTATTTTATTATTTTATTTTATTTTATTTTTATTTATTTTTATTGTTCTCATGTACTTTAATTATAAATATTATAGGTCACCTATGGTTTGCTGTAGGTATATTTTATTTTTTGTCAAATTGGCTTCTATACAACCCAGTGCTCATCTCAACAAGTGCTGTCCTCAATGCCTGTCACTCATTTTCCCCTCTTCCCCACTCCCCATTCACCCTCAGTTTGTTTTCTGTATTTAAGAGTCTCTTGTGGTTTGCCTCCCTCCGTCTTTGTTTGTAACTATTTTTCTCCCTTCCCTTCCCCCATGGACTTCTGTTAAGTTTCTCAAGATCCACATATGTGTGAAAACATGTGATATCTGTCCTTCTCTGACTGACTTATTTCACTCAGCATAATACCTTCCAGTTCCAGCCACGTTGCTGCAAATGAAATGATTTCATTCTTTTTCATTGCCAAGTAGTATTCCATTGTATATATAAACCACATCTTGTTTATCCATTCATCATACCAAATAGCATATCTTCTCTGATAAAGGAAACAATAAACAAGTCATGTCTTTTAAATATTAATCTGATGGAACTTAACAAGATTGAAGACACTCAAATATATAGTTAGGGCAATTATGTGAATTAGTGAAAAAAGTTGATGGAGTTTAACCTCTTTCCATAATTTGTCTATTGTTGAAAGTGCTGCTATAAACATACATGCGCCCCTATGCATCAGCACTGCTGTATCGCTTGGGTAAATTCCTGGTAGTGCTATTGTTGGGTCATAGGGTAGTTCTAGTTTTAATTTTTTGAGGAAACTTCACACTGGGAAAACATATATTTTAAACATTAACTGCACAAGAGAATTGACGAGAGAAGTATACCATGGAAAATTATTTCAAGATGTTTTGATTTTGAATCAAGTGATTTCTTTTTGGTTTTTCATAAGAAAGTTATATTTTAATAAACCAGTAATTTTCAAGGGATTATTTTCTAAAGTAAAATGTGTGTAAAGTTTTTTTGTATAGCATGACTTTGCTTCTATGATATAGTAGATTGAATCTGAATAATTTGTATCTGAATTTACATCTGAATTTGTATCTGAAAAATCCTCCAGACTAGAATAGACCATTTAAATGCTGTTAGGTTGGAGTCTATGAAAAAAATGTTCAGAAAGAATATTTTGAACTTAATGTTAAATGTGTTTTATTAAAGCATTCAATTGTCACCCCTCTTATTATAAACTAATATTTCATCAAATTTCATCAGCTCCTATATTCAGATCATCCTAAAATATAGATAATACATTGATGGCTGTGAGAAATTTCAAAATAATGAATTTGTTGAGATGAAGGCTACATCTTCCACAAATGATTAAAGACCTAAAATATATATCTTCCTATATCGGGCTTCTGAGATACATGTTTACATTTCAGAAGGTTTTAATTGGTATGATGTCCCTTCTGCAAATGACAATGAAAATCTTTGAAGCTAGGAGTCCTAAGGCGTCTGATAATTAGAGGTCTGAATAAAGGGTTTTCACCGTATGTCTACACAAACACATGCTTATGTTTAACTCACTGTATTGGACAGTTTTGATCTGTAGATACAAGGGGCATTTATGGTGTAATTGATGGGTATATGCTTTGCATGCAACAAAGGCCCATCTTACTGAAAGGTATAATGTTACAAAAATAATGTGTGGTGTTAATTGCGTCTTTAAAACAACCTAGAGCATTCATCTTTGGTAAATAAACTTTTCTGCATGAAATCGTATTAAAAGCTAACTTGCAGCAGCAACGTTTTTTTGGTGACAATTCAATATTTTGTTCTTTTTGTGGGTGTTCTGTTTGTTTGCAGTCAGATGAGTGAGCCTCATAGCGGTTTGACGCTCAAATGTGCCAAGTGTGGAGTAGTTTCAACAACAGCTTTGTCAGCCACCACCGCCAGTAACGCCATGTTAGTCCCAATCATTTACATCTTCTTGTTACAAATCTTTTACAGTGCATGTGAGAAAATGCTATTGTGGAAAAAAAAATCGCGCTTGCTAATATTGGAGCTAAGACGATACTTAAATATTTATAATTGGCAACTGCTTTTAAAACTGTTGTGGGATTGTCTATAAAAAAATAAATAAAACTATCCAATGTTATCTGCTTTATGGTTTCCAAGTTAATGGTCTTGGTGCCACATACAAGAATGCTTTGGTGAACGGGGGTTTGGTTACTGCCTGGGGCGTGACACGCAGCTACGTAATGTTGCTTTCTCTGTCTCTCAACAGGGCGTCCCTCTGGAGTTCCTGTGTGGTGTTGCCCCTTCTGGCTCTGACATGGATGTCTGCGGTTCTGGCCATGACAGACAAACGCTCCATATTGTTTCAGATACTTTTTGCCGTGTTTGATTCATTGCAAGGTTTTGTGATAGTCATGGTCCACTGCATTCTTCGGAGAGAGGTAAGAAAGAGAATTCCTCTGGCAGAGAGGCAGGATGGTTAGACGATTAATTTCGTTGTTAACAAATATGATCTTTTATATTAATATCTTCAGATTAAAATCATTTCCCCTAAAGACAGTCATTTGAAAGTTAAAACTAAAGGGAAGCTCTAAGGCAAAGTTCAAGCGGGCTCCTTGGACTCTGAAAGTGACAGTTAAAACAGATGGGACCGTGCAAGAGAAGACGCTGCCCGGGTGCCAAGAATCAGGGAGAGTAGATTCAGGAGAGGTCATAGGCGGAGACGAGTCTGTTAGAGACACTGGTGGATAAGACACGGTGGGGTGGCATATTTTTAAGAGGCATAGTTCATAAACATAATACAGTGATATTTCCTACACCCACTCCCAAACCCATGTTTCTTTCTATACAGCATATCCCCATTCCTTCATACTTTACTAATTTCATTTAAAATTTTTTTTTTTAACGTTTATTTATTTTTGAGACAGAGAGAGACAGAGCATGAACGGGGGAGGGTCAGAGAGAGGGAGACACAGAATCTGAAACAGGCTCCAGGCTCTGAGCTGTCAGCACAGAGCCCGACGCGGGGCTTGAACTCACAGACTGTGAGATCATGACCTGAGCTGAAGTCGGCTGCTTAACCGACTGAGCCACCCAGGCGCCCCTAATTTCATTTTAGATAGAAAATGTTGAAGATTAATGGGCAGTTCTTGTGTCTCTATACTAAATTAAGTTAAGGTTGCTAAAGATGAATGATTTTGAGATGGATATTTATTCTCAGAAAATACCAAAAATGTGCCCAGTCGAGCAGGGATAGGCAGTAATTGTCCTCAGGAACTCTAGATCTATAATCACAGCCTTTCTCCAGGTCATGGTTGAGGTTTATTGTCAGCAGTGAAGAAAACCAGTCCTGCTTCATGAGTTGAGATGCCAACCTGCACCAAATCCACTGAGAGCAGTGATAGATGTCAGACGTGATTTGTTTAGGGAGAAAATATTGTTTTCCAACCAGTGCAAAAATTATGCTGAGTGCTTGAAAGCACTGACACAGTATTTATAAGGTTTATGAGTCATTTTAGTGTTTACTCTGGGGATGGTGGCGACTAAAACACAATGACACAGTGCCATGCGAGTAATTTTGAGAAAATGGTCCACACTGTCATTTTGCATTATCCAGCTTGTTTGAGAACTTTATTATGATGTACACATTGCAAAAATACTCATGTGCATATGAATACATGCCATATGGTTTTTACAGTGATGTGTAAGGTAACCAAGGGTTTTTACCTGATTAACCAGATGGGGAGAACAGTATTTCTGAGCTACTTCGGTAAAGTACAGATGTCAGGAATAAACCCATACATGTGTATTCTAAGAACATTATAGGGTGAAGAGTGACTTCACATTGTAAAGGGGGCAGTATATCATCATTTAAAAAATCTGATTTAGCAGGGTGCCGGGGTGGCTCAGTCAGTTAAGCATCCAACTTTGGCTCAGCTCATGATCTCACCATTCATGAGTTCAAGCCATACAATGGGCTCTGTGCGTACAGCTCAGAGCCTGGAGCCTGCTTCAGATTCTGGGTATCCCTCTCTCTCTGCCCCTTTTCCATTCGCTCTCTCTCTCTCCTTCAAAAATAAAAATTAAAAAAATAAATAAAATCTGATTTAGCTTACAGTTACCAAGCCTTATAATTCCTTCATCACTAATGTCTACCTGGAGTATCAAGATTAAAAATCTTTCAAGTATTCAATTCTTTATAGACCAAAATTAAGTAAAAGTTAAAAAGAAATTGTATAATTTAGGGCTATGCTATTCTTGAACTATAGCTATCTTGTGGGTCTTCTGTGTTAATATTATCTATAATATGTTTATGTAACAAAATTTGTTCTAAGTGAATGGATGCATGATACCTTTTTGATTGACAATTAAGACTGAACATTTGTGGGCTTTAAGCAAGATACATAATATATCCACACACAGTTTTCAGAAGATGTTAACGCTTGAGGTGTTGAAGAGGAGAAAAGTGTCCCATCTCTAAGTAAGCCTCTCTTTTTCTTCAGAAATAAGCTTTTCAGATAGCCCTAGGCTATGATAAAAATTTTCAGGTTTTAAAGTGACATATCTTGATGGCTTATTATCAGATTTTTGCTCCTTACATGAAGAAAAATATTTTATTTGGCACAAAAATTTATTTCCATCAGAACTTTTTCATACTTGCTAATTGAACTAATAACTGTCAAAAAGATTATTTATGGGGAATTAAATCATATAAGTGCTCCTGTTAAAATAGATGTCTGTAAATATATGTTTTCTGTTTTAGCGGGGAGTAAAAATATGAATATTGGCCCCATTATTATTGCATTTTCAATAATTCAGATTGAATAATTTTATAGCTGATAAATTAATAGCAGAGTCTCAGAACTCTTCATTCTAACACTGAAACGAACAATGACATATCCATTATTTTTTCATTGACCCTTAAGAATACCCTGTAACAGTGCTATAAGAACACAGAACAGATTTCCGTTATAGGGCAAGTCTTTTTCAGAATTTCTCAAAGGAAATTTTTACGGAAAAACCAAAAGAACCTTGTTTAAGTGGGCTTTGCAAATCCCAAAGACCACATCATTGGAGGCCTCATGGGGTTCAGAGAAATCCTTTTTGACCTTCTAACTTCATATTGCCTAACACCAGCAACAGGTGTGTGTCGTACCACCTGTGAATGCACCACACTAACATTGGCCACAGTCTAAGAGAATAGGAACATCTTCCCATATCCTCATGTCTCCTGTGAACAGAAGTGCCATAAAAATACACTGGAGCAAATGGACTAGCTACCTACCTGGAAAATACCGGGTAATGACTCCTATCAACAACTTGATTATCCCATAGGAGATTTTAGAAATATGATTTTACCTCTACTGCTTTTTTCCACTTCAAACTATTTTTCACAATAATCCAAGACAATTTGTATGGATTTTATTTATTAAAAATGTATAAGCAATATAAGAAATATTTCCTTCGATTTAGAGGGAGACTGGATACAGGTATACTTATTTTTATTTCTATGTATTTTTGACACGCAGTAACATAATTTGGTCATTTGTAGTCTTTATTGATTCTTCCAATATGAATTCAAAAGTCTTTTCCCATATTTACTTTTGCAATCTTCCTGTGAAGGAGGCGGGTGTACGCAGGGGAGGAATATAGCCTTGCAGTTTAAGAAGGAGAAAAGAAACGAAACCATATAACTGGCATTTTAAATGTGATGTATATGGGGCTTGATTTATTCTAAATGTGCCTTTGCTTTTAGTGGATCCAATTTTAAAACCAAATCATTTCAAGTCAGAAGGGAAGGGAGAAATGCTCACTTTGGTGCTGTCAATTATATTCCACATTTAAAAAAAAAAGCAAATTGATTATTTGCATAACAATTTGTTGTGACCTTCAGAGTTGACATCTTAATATGTAAATTTTGTAAAATTTGTATTCCTGAAAATACAGTTTCTTTTTCTGGAGCAACTTTCTCTATTGAATTGCTTTAGTAGATGCCTCTGACAAATGAGAAAACAAAAAGGGGGAATAAGAAGAAAAAACATTAAACCAAATGATTTATCACACATTACTTTCAGCAACAAAAACTAGGTCTTGGAAGCTAATATGTACAATACCTCATAAGACAGAATCTAATAGAATAAATATAGTTGCTTCCTTCATTTATTTGTCATTTCATGATTGGAATTCATTTGCATTAAGCACATAACGACATCTACTATTTACTATTCTCCACATTGCTATGGAAATTCAAACCACACAAGTTATGAAACCTTTGAAATAGTTACTGTTGCTAGGAAACCACTTTCTTAGTGCCTGCACATTCTTCTCATCTCTCCTGTCTCTGGCTGTGCCTGGCTCTAAGACAATCTTACAGCTTAGTGTCAGAGGGGGAAAATAACAAGATTGTGATACAAAATAAGCTACGATAAAACCCTTTCACTAAATGGAAGGAAAAAGGCAAGTACTTAAATAGATAATTTTGTTGTATCAGTATGTGAGGGTCCTGTGGCTGCTCTGTAGTGGAAGGAGAAGGGCCAAGCTCCTCTTTTCTCTTCCTCCAGCACTGGCAGGAGGTCTAGGCTGCACCAGATGAGGTCCCAGAATCTTCATCCAACCCACAAAGTGATTTTGTAATAAAATGCTTAAAATAAACATGAACAGCTTTTTCTTTCTTTTTTTCCCTCATTCTCTCTTTCTCTCATTCCCCTCTACCTTTTTTTTTCTTCCATTTCCAGTTGGTCTATTTCCATAAAGGATACAGATAAACAAAATGATTTACAGTCACATGGCAGTGAATATATGAAACAGACAAGCATCCTTACCTATCTCATCTAAAACCAATATTCTCCCAAACCATTAAAAAAATAAATGAAGCCAATTGTGGTGAAATAACTAGATAGCAATTTGAAAAGCAGTCGTATTGCATATAATATAGTTCAGATGGAGAGTTGCATGAATCTCCAAGCCTGACCATATACAGGGAAACTATGTGTGACTCCTTATTATAGAAGTGTCTATCTGTGCACTCCCTTACTGAAAGACAGCAAGAGTTTCAGTTAGTCTTTGGAGATGAGGGAGTGGGTGATAGGAGACTTCAAAACATAATGGGGTCCTGAGAGGGAAAATGGGGTTAGAGGATTAAGGGAGTGAAAGTTTCAAGTAAGGGAAGATGGGGAGAGATTACTAGGCATGTGGTCTCCATGGAATGCACCTATGGTGAATATAGAGTGGTCTTCTCTGGGACCATCTGGGGTACATGGAGGAATAAAGCAAGTGATTTGTTCCTAGACACTTGAGTGATTTAAAAAAAAAATTGGTTGTAACTGTAACACCAAGAGAAAGGCAATACTTACATTTGAGGGCATAGCATTGATTAACTGATATTTTAGAGCTTTCCCATGGGGGTGTTCAGTGGCCATGGTAAGAAGCCACTGTGTGTCAT